TTGGTATATTGGCACGCTAAAGTCGTTACTATAAGTGCAAAAGTAATAGCCACGACATTTGTTGTGCCTATTCCATCTCAATTGATGTCATGTTCATATTATTTAAATAATGAGCATGTTGTGCCAATAATTGTCGTGGCTATTGTTGTAATATGAATTAAAACAATATGTTGTTACAATTCCTACGAGCCGATAAGTATTACACATCAAAACGTGTCGTTTCAAATGATGTTAATATACATATATGCATTCATCTTTTAGTGACAATTTTATTGTTGTAATGTATGACGAAGATTTAAATACAAAATATTTATATGTCAATTAAACTTGAATAAACAACATAAGCCAATCAAAATAATAGAGTAGACATGCTTCTGAATCAACATATACATATTAGATAGTCATTCCATCAACTTCACAACCAACTAATTTGTGTCAATGGTTCCCAATACACAAACAAAATACATGTCAAAAGTCTTGGGACCTAATCAAAACATTATGTTATACATAGAGTAAACCCCATATAAATTACTTGGTTCTCTCGCTTCAAAAAAAATATACCAAAAGAGCCGAGACCAAGCAAAATGTTAAAATATATTAAAGTATCAAACTAACATTAGCATTGCCTACATTAACAATGCATGTTCTCATGCTCTTGATGAGTGAATTGAGCATCCGTCTCCTCTTCTTCATCAATATCAATCCCAACCTTAGCCTTTAGTCGTGCAAGCGTCTTTGACATTTTCTCAAACTTAAAAAAAAATATCGTAAAACAAAGACATTCATTACAATTTTGTACCAATAATAAAAAAGTATCTTTTAACACAAAGCAACATGGATCTTTAAGGAAAAAATTGTATAGAACTTCCTACGAAAGGAATAGAAAAATAGCGACAAACTATAATGCGAACAACACAACCATAAAACTAACGAAGTGAAAGATTAGAATGATATATGGTCGAATATCAACTAGAAAATATAATGAAATGTACAGTGATTAAGAATAAAGGCCCAAAAGACTAGCATTAAATAAGTGAAAAAGACTAGCAATAGATGATTCTGGAATAAGTGCAAATATAAGCATACCTCCTTCAGTAGATTTACATAACTTTCAGCATTCGGGGTAGCACCTTGAGTATCTTTTCTAGTAGAATTTGAAGTAATAGATGATTCTGGAATATCATGAATGGAGGAGGACTTGGACCCCTTAAGGATCCGTCCAAAACCGCATTCATGACCTCGCCGAGTACCAAATACTTCCCGCATAATAGCTCTCTCATCCACAATGTCATCAGGGAAAGCTAGTTGTGCTGATTCTCTTGCTTCAAGAAGACGAGACTACATAAAAGTAGTTTATGAAAATTGACGTGATATAAAAGTAAAGACAATTTAAGTCGAACATTGATTTCAAGATACAAATATAATTTACATACAAAGACACAAAATCAAAGAAGAGCATGGGATAGGAAGACATTGAGTAAGTCGAACGTTGATCGAGAGCACATTTATGTTAGGAAGCAAAATATTCTTATTTATTAATTGAAATAATTAGTGGGGTGGAACACAAGTCTACAAAACTGGATGTTAGTTTTCATTAACTTTTAATTATCTTACTCTTTTTATAGGGTCTCCAAGCTCTCACATATTAGCACATATTTAACCAATATTATTAGGTGGACCTTCCACCTTTTCTTAAGATCTATTCACAACATAATTGCATCTAATATCTCACAATTAATAGTGAAACTCATAAAAGAGTGAACAGTAAATCTAAGACTCCAAGTGTCAAGAAGATTAAAGATTAAACAGTTGCTAATTAGAAAGAAATTAATTGCGCAGAAGACAACACGATTTAAAAACACATTTATAGAAACAACTGGCACAATGAGTACAAAATAAAAACATGATACTAAAAACATGAACACAAAAAGATACCCAAATTTGCCGCCTCTAACTGTATTAATTTTGATGCTATTATCTACCATTAATGCTTTCAAAGTTACTGTTAAATGTGTTTTATTTTGTAATGGAGCTTCTAAATTGCTATAGTATCACATAAGTAAAACCACAACACAATAAGATTACGTGAAGTTCATAAAATACTGATGACAACTCAATCAAAGCAAAGCAAAAATTGGCACCTCAAGGCTCAACATCTTTCACAAAATAATATTAATACAAAGGAAAATTAACACCTCAAGTTTCAACATCTTACATAATCAGATTCGGCGGCCTTATTCACCCACTCCCCACTTTCTTTATCGGTATGCATCTCTCTGAATAGTGCTATAAAACTCGGATTGGATTCCTCCTCCTCATCACATTCCTAAGAAAAAAATACTAATGGGGTAAAACCAATGCTTCTTCTACAGAACAAATAACAATTTCATTTTATCTAATAACAAGGAATTAT